GCCGTTTCACACCTGGCCCTGCTCTGCCTCCCTGGCATCTCTCACAGGCACTCCTTGGTTAAGATGTGAAACTCCAGCCAACTGATCGATGTGTGATATTGTAAAATATTCAGGATTCTCACGGCAGCTTCTTCTCCTAAGTGGGCTTCTCATATTAGTGGGAAAACTCATTAATATTGAAATCCCCGCTGACAGAAGGCTTGTAGGCAATACAGTATCAGGAAAAAAACATTCTTGTATTTTACATGCCGGCTTAGAGAGTGGGAATCAATGGACTAAAAACGACCTAGTTCTAGTCCTATTTTTCAGCTGATAGAAAGCAGCTCTCTTGATATTAAATAATGCATCTCTTCAGCAAGCAGTGAATAATATGATTTAGTGTGTTCAAACATTCTGCTGGAATGATGATGCAGGCTCTGAGCACACTGAATGTCACTGAGCACAGCCTGAGACGCTCGTTCAGCTTAAACAGGAATGTTTACCTAATTCCACACATTCGCTGGGAGGATGTGCCTTCCCGGGAAGATTTACAAGCACAGAGTTCACCTGTTTGAAGCAGCAGGTGACTGCAGCACTGGAAGGCAGCTATTTCCCCCAGGATATAATTCCCAGCGTGGCTGGGCCATGGGTTCCCACAGAAACCCAGAATTACCGGTGCAGGTGTGTGGAGCTGGCTGCGTGCAGACATTCCAGCTTTTCCTGGAGCCATGCTGGAATTTCACACCTGCCTGGGCTCTGGGATGCAGCAGCACTGCCCACGATGTGCTCTGAGCACAGAGCTGTCAGCTGACTAACAAGGAGGTTTAATACATTGATATTTTGGAGATATTCACCCGGTTGATGCCAAACTACTCACGGCAAGGCCTGGTAGCCCTGTACCTGTCCTGTGTCTGTTACTGGGACAGAAGAACCCCTGGTGTTGTGGGACTGGGTGCTGAGGGTGATTCTCATCAGCTGATGGAGATGGGATCCCAGGCGGGGGATTTGGGGGGCAACAAAGCAGCCACCAAGCATCAGAAGCTCTAAGAACAAACACACACCTGCTCCTGGCAGGATTTAGAAGTTAAGTTTGCCATGATCCATGACCTGGTACCCGAAACGTGGATCACCTTTTCAGAGCCCTTTAGAGTTCGGAAGGAATTGCAGGAGTGGGGAGAAGGAAGAGCAGCTTTGGCAGCGAAGCCCAGCTGGCCCTGCCTCTTGTCCCTGCTCCAGGGGTGCTGCACCAGCATCTCCTGCTGCCATGCAGAGCCCCCAGCTGCAGGAGCACAGCGCTTTCCTCACCAACAGACGCAACCAGTGGCAACACAGAGCGCTGTGAATCCCAAATCCAGAGTCCAGCCCTGCAGATTCTCCTTACACAAAATCACCGATTGATTTAAATGGGATTTGAGACTGCATAAAGAGGAGAAAAACTGGAGGGGTTGGCAGGTTTCCCACGGAACAAACAGAGCCTGCTTGAAATGAGGAATTATTTGGTATCCTGGCATATTAAATGTGTTAGATATGCAGAAAGGAAGAGTGGGGAGAAGCAACTGGGGTTCAAGGAGTTGTCCAACCTGCCCAAGTGCTCATTTAAACACACACTTTTGTTCCTGAGAAAATTAAATAACTTAAGGTCCTTCTCTCTCCCACTCCAATTTTTATAAAAGTGCCTCATAAGATGTGAAATCATTAATTAAAGAAGATTCCTCAATTATTCTCTCTGACCTGTCACAGTTACTTGTTTAGTCAGCGTTAAGAATTCAGCAACATCTTCAAAGGCTTTCCAAGACACCACCTGTGAACTAATTATGCTGAAGGAGGAAAGATTTGTAAGGAGCTCCAGCTCCTGGCGCTGGCTGACAACACAGATACCAACCGTGGCCCCAATTTTGTAACTTTCTGCAGCTAATTCTACATGCTTGAAGCACTGTCGCTTCAAATTAGGAGAGCAAATCCCCAAATGTGCGGAAAGGGGCTCCAGCAGGGAAATGCACAAATGTGTCACCGGGGCTCTCGAACACGGCGCTGCTTTGCATGAATTAAAAATGTCTTAAATGCTTTGTCCCCTGTTGGGAACTGGGGGGGGGTGCAGAAAGTTCTGCAGGGTTGCTGCAGATTCCTCACTCCCTGCAGAGAGTCCCTTCCAAGGCTGGTCCTGGAGGAGGGCCCTGGGACTCAGGCGGTGCTGATGGGACGCTGACCACCCTGCCAGGATTTTCCTGCATTTCTGGGGAGCCCTGGCCCCAGCTGTCCCCCTGCAGGCACAGACTGCTGCCCTTGGGGTGCTCTCACAGCCTCTGGCCCAGCACTGAACCCCACCACGGGTCTGTGTCGTCCAGCAGCAGGACCTGCTCCAGGGAGCACAGCCCCTGAAGCGGAGAAGGATGGTGGTAATTAGCTAATTAGCTGCACAGCCTTGATTGAGCAGGAAGGAGGCCGATGCTCTGGTTTCTGGCTGATGTGAGACACGAGGCTGAAACGAGCTGCCACAGCTTTTCCATGGTTGGTATTCCTGCACCAGGGAAGCAGGGCAGGCAGAGCCAGAGCACTCCTGGCCAAACCTCCCTGCAGGATGTGAGCAAAGCCAGAAACCCTGGCCCTGCTCGTGGCAGGGGGTGGAACGAGATGATTTTAAGGCCCCTTCCAGCCCAAACCATTCTGTGATTTATGATAAACCTGATTTTACAGTCATAAGCAGCTGTGGACAGATAACCCAGGTTTTCTGCCACCATCTCCCAGCCCAACCTGCTGCCTTCACTGCTGGTGCTGCAGCACACGAGGGGCTCAGTTCCCAGCACTCTGGGAAGGTTTTCATTGCCTCTGCAGCTGAATAACTTGGTTACAATAGTGCTGGCATTTTCCAGCTATTTACCAGGCTAAAATTAGCCAAGTAGAGGGACTATCACGGTGTTATTTAATTATGGAAGGCAAACAGAACAGTTCATTGCAATGTCACTGCTGCTACCAGGGCTGATTTCCAGGAGGAAAGACTCAATAATAAATTTGCAACCATTTTGAGAACTGTCTTTAAACCCTCCTCCCCTTTTCTGTTGTCTTTCAGCAGAACAGATGTTGGTTTTCAACTGCAAACTGAGCTCAGTGCTTTCCTTGGTAATTTAAAGTTGGATTTGCTCATGTAGTTCATAACTACTGCAACTTTAATGATTCCTAAATTTTTCCACTGTTGTGTTCAGAGGTTTTCATATTCTCAATTTCATTTTGCAAAAGGCCCTCTCTATTTAGCACTGTGCTTTCAGAATTAAGAGGGATCATTGTTAAAGGACTCTATTCCTTTCCACTCCCCCATCTCCATGCTGCTCCCAAAAATACACATAATTTTGCTCATTTGGTGCAAATTTCTGCAGACAAGAATTCAAACACTTCTCAAAGCTGTGCTACTTGAACAGCAGTTTTTGAAAGTGAGGAACGACTGTGACTCTGTTGGAGCACTCCCTTATGGAGATCAAAGCCAGAAATGTTACTGGAGCCCATTCCAGCTGCAACCAGCTGGCATTATCCCTCCTTCCCTGGACAGAGCTGGAACAGGATCAGGCTGAGGGCCCTTTTTCAGGAATTACAAACCCCAGAGTTGAACACCACCAGAGTGGGGCTCTCCTATCGCTGCTTTGCACGGCTGACACAGCGGCAGCCCCTTCCTTCTTCTCAGCCTCTCTTGGCTCAACAAATAATTCCCCAGCTTATTTCCAACTGCTTGGTAGTGCAAAGCAACTGTGGAAAATCCCAAGGACAGGGACTTTTACTGCAGGCACTATCAGCTTTTTGCAGCCCAGTCCCCCCTTCCATGCCGTGGGTTTGGATGGAGATGATGGGCAGAGGTTGTGCTGCAGCTCTGGCTGCAGCCACAGGACAATCTCTGCCCTAGAGGAGATGGAGGCAGGGCACAGTCTCTGCCCTAGAGGGGATGGAGAGCTTTGGGAAGCTCCCTGGGGCCCGGGGAAGGCAGGGAGGCAGCACCTCTGCCCCTCAAGCGACACCAGAGCTCGCCCTCCCTAAGCTCTTTAATTAAAGCTCTGCAGATTTAAACACTTGTCTTGCTGCTCCTGTAGGTCTAAGGGTGCTGGAATCACCTGTGCCTGCTGTCCCTTCTGCAGCCCTTGGTTTAACCTGCCTCACTTGGTTTAATCACCTCACTTCTGTGGCTTTCTGGCACAGTCCTCCCAATCTTTTAATCTCGATTAGGAAATAAAAGCGCACATCTGGTGAAGGTTTTGCCAGAGGAAAATTCTGCTTGTTTTTGTCTTGCAGATGGGATATTGGGAAGGAATTGTTCCTGGCAGGGTGGGCAGGCCCTGGCACAGGTGCCCAGAGCAGCTGTGGCTGCCCCTGGATCCCTGGCAGTGCCCAAGGCCAGGCTGGATACTGGGACACCCTGGGACACCCTGGGACAGTGAGAGGTGTCCCTGCCATGGCAGGGCTGGCACGGGGGGGCTCTGAGGTCCCTCCCAACCCAAACCATCCCAGGATTCTGTGACCAGCTCCCCTGAGGGTGTCCTGCAGCAACAGGAGAGAACAGGGATGCAGCAGGAGCACTCGGGAGCTGTGAACACCCTCCAGGCACACGCAGAGGGTGCAGCTCCCACCATCCCCTCCTGGCCCTGGCAGTGAAAACACCTCCCAACAGCTCCTGGCTCCGTGCCACGGTCAGCCAGAGACGAGACAGTGAGAAATCTGCACATCCTCAAACCAACATCCACATTGGCCACAACACCAGCGAGGGCTCAGGGGGCGAGGTGGTTCCAGAGCAGGGAACTGCCCACACGGAGCAGTGCCCTGCACAGCCCCACCAGGACACACCATGGCAGGGACAGGCGTGGGGAGAGGCTGCTCCGAACGGGGAGAAAGAGGACAAGACACAAAGGCTGCAGGGCAGACACACCAATGGAAGCACAACGACAGGGACAGCCCAGCACTACCACAACACAGCAGCCGGGCCAGCCCCGGGCACGGATGGCAATGAGCCCTGCAGGCACCGACCCTCCTCGGGGGATACTGACCTGGGCTTGAGACACGACTAGAGGTAGTAGGCTCAATAATTTCTACAAAAAGGGAAAAGGAAAAAAAAGAAAAAAAAAAAAAAAAAGAGAACATTTGGGTGTTAATCACACATGGAAGACAAGTACAGAATGAGACAGCAAACAGTCATGCAAGAGACAGCACAGTTGAACCTGGAGTGGGGCTGGGACAGAGCCCTGTGCTGGAGCTGCACCCAGCACTGCTCTTACCCTCATTATCTGCACACCATCAGCACCACCACACTCGGAGCAGGCCAGGCCTGCTGCCCCTGGGTTCTCCAGCTCCAAAGCTTCCTCCAGGGGGGCACTGACACCTGGCTAAGGGAAGGGCTGTGCTCACTCCACTGGAGGCAATTTCCTCCCATGAATATCAGTCAAGGTAACAATTTTGAACAAAGAATGTTTTAAGGCAATAGGTTTGTGCTTCATTGAACTTTTAAGAAGGCATATCTTTTTAATTATTGAAGTCTTTCCAGAAGAGAACATTTCTCAGAAACATCAAACCCATTTGGAAGTTGTTTACTTCCCCCAGGGCAACCAATACAAACAGGCAAAGTTAAGAGAAGACACAGTTCTCCTGCATCCAGCCTAATGAAACAATCACCTGTGGCTTTTCATTATAATTTGACTTTAGAATTCATTATTCTGGGCCTTTTTATTAGCTTTGAATAGCGCTATGCAAAATGAAATACCGGTCCCAATTAATCTTGCACGGAAGCAAGCTCCCATCTCAATGCAGCAATTCAATACTGCTCATAAAAAAGGTTTAACAAAATTACCAAGCTCAAAAGATCATTGACCATATCTTGACTATAACAAGAAACTAATGAAAAAAAATGGGAGCGAGTTGACAAGCAGGGATGTGCAGGGAATGGCTGAGCACACACCAGCTCCTGGCCAATTTTGAGGGGTGGTTTTTTTCCACCTAAAATTGCTTTTCAGGTTAATACTGTGCAAACACGAGTCCAAGAGAAATAGCAGACAAATATTTCCCCAAATAAAAAGTTATGAAGTTTCTTTAGCCAACTGCTAAACTTGTGCTAATGCAGATGAATGTTTCGAACCTTAAAGCCAATTATTCAACACCTTGACAAACACACCGTGGGTGCTGATGAACCCAAAGCACGTTTTAAAAGTGAAATGGAATTTGAGCTGTGTTACACTTTTAATTGGCATTAAAATCCATGAAGTTGGTGACTCCTTCAGCATGAAAAAGGGTTCCAGGTTTCCCACCCCAGTGCAGGGGCAGGAGCAGTGGAAATGCTGTGGACAGATGGGTCTGTCCCTGATATCCCACATCACTCAGCACAGGGAAAAAGGGAAACTCAGCATGAGGAAAAAGGGAAACAACACAGGGAAAAAGGGAAACTCAGCACAGGGAAAAAGGGAAACTCAGCACAGGTAAAAGGGAAACTCAACATGAGGAAAAAGGGAAACAACACAGGGAAAAAGGGAAACAGCACAGGAAAAAAGGGAAACTCAACACAAGGAAAAGGGAAACTCAAAATGAAGGGAAAAGGGAAACTCAAAATGAAGGGAAAAGGGAAACTCAACATGAAGGGAAAAGGGAAACTCAACATGGAGGAAAAGGGAAAGTCAGCATGAGGGAAAAGGAAAATTCCGCATGAGGGGAAAAGGAAACTCAACATGAGGAAAAGGGAAAGAGCACAAGGAAAAAGGGAAACTCAGCACCAGGGAAAAGGGAAACTCAGCACAGCAAATGCTCCCACCCCAAAATGTTCCCCTGGGAAAGGAGGCTGTGCCCCTGCACAGACCAACCCTGCCTTCAGCAGGAGAAACAGGAATTGGGGTCCAACAAGAGACTCAGAGTAAGCAAAAACCTATCAAGATTTCATTGTATTCGTATTTCAATGGCTGTTTTAAAAGTGTGACAATAATTTGATTTAGTTCTCCTTAACTTCTCCCAGACCTTCATGTTCTGAGCAATTACAGCCTGCTCCTCTTGGATAATCCTCAAACTGGCTCAAATGTGTTGTGCAATGATGACAAAAGTTATTTTTCTGGCTGCCTTAGGTTAACAGCATTTTTTCTCGGGAATTTAGAAGTCAATCCTCGTGACTGTGCCTTGGTAGGAAAGGAGAAGTTCCTCTTGCTGCAGATGAACACCATTCTTTCCAACAATCAGGCAAATTAACACACTCAGTCAGTACAATATTTCATTAAAAAACAAATACCCTCCCCAAACCAGCAGGGGTTGTGCTGGGATCGTGTCTCCCCAGGAAACATCAGATCTAGACTTAATTATAGGTGCTTAAGGTAGCATAAAGTCACAGATTCCTGCCAGCACTGAGGCTGGAAGCGAGGGCGGTGATTTCATGTATTATTCTTGCAAAAAAATCTCATTTTTAAACACATTATTAGATCAAGGCATTGGAGAGACGGATCTATTTCTAGTTTCAAGTTCTGAAACTCTTTGCGAATCTTTATTCATGAAAATGTTCAGGTCTATAGAGGGAAAACAAAACCAGCTGGTTCTGCAGGAGCACGCTAGGCTGGTTCATTCAAATTAAAATTTGTTAATGACTCCTCAGGAGCCCTGGGAGGCAGGGATGCGTGGGCAAGAGTGGCACTATCTGCACTGCACTTTCCGGGACCCCCATCCCACGGTGTCAGGACTGCTCACATTTCCAAGGGTGGAGAAGGAATCTCTGCAAGTCTAATGGGAAGCCAGGAGTTTCTGTGCCATTCCCGTGGCTGCACTGGGGGGCTCTCCTGGAGCTGAACTTTGGGGCTCTGGAGGAGCAGTGGGTGCCCAGCAGCTGCTGCAGTGCCCATGGCAGAGCTGGGGCTGCGTGTGCAGGGGCCCGGGTGCCCTGCAGGGCCACCTCCCATGGGCAGAGCACAGCCAGACCCAGCTCGCTGGCTTAAAGCAGAGCTTGGCGTCAGGCTGGGTTCAAAAACACAAAATGAGGAATGTTCTGGGCACAGGGACACTGGCACAACAGCCCTGGGTGCCAAACGAACCCGGAGATCTGGGGATTTCTGCCCAGCTCTAAATGCACCAAGCTCCTGACTGACTTCCTGGCCCGAACTCTTCAGTGAAGGAATTTTCCTTCATATCCACACTGAACCTGCCCTGGAGCACCAGGGAAATGCTCTGGCAGGTGCTGGTGTGGCAGCCCAGCTCTGCTGCAGCATTCCCCAGCACCTTGTCATGGGAAGAAGTAAAGCCTGCTGTTCTCCTTAAAATCAGTTTTGGTTGGGGGTGCTGAGCTGGATCAAACACTGGAAATGACCCAGACAAGCAGCAGCTGAGAGGCTTTAAATGGAGAGGGAGAATAAACCCCGGGGATTTGCAGCTGCAGCTCTAATCCTGGGAAGGGAAACCTCTGGAGGATGTAAGCACTACAGACAGCTGGGCCAGGGAGGTGAGGGTAAATGTCAAGGACGTTTAGCGCTGCCTTTTACCAAAGGCACGGAGATTGTATCTGGAAATTCCTTTCTGATCCCAGGCTGGCAGAAAAGAGCTGGCAGAGAGAACCTCTTATCAGAATGGGACACATCCCATGAAAGGGGAGCACAAGGAGGCAAATTACAGGGAACAAAAGGAATTGGCTGCAAAAAGGCCCCGTCTGGGAAAGCCAGGACAGGAAGGGAACCACCAGAGCAAACCTGAGGGAGGCACTCCCTGCCCCCAGAGACTGCACAGCCACGAAGGCTGGAAGAGACCTCTGAGACCATAAAGTCCAAGTCAAACACCACCATGTCCACCCAATCACACAGTGAGGGAATGAGGTACCCTGAGAGAAATGAGAGCCCCTCTGCTCACACACAGAAATTCAGCACGGACCCAAACCTATTTTTGTCTCAGCTTTATCACAAGCTGAAACCCTGGCATTCTGCATAAAAACATGGAAATGGAAATTGCCAGACCAAAGTTAGAGCAAAATTCAATCAGCTCAGGAGGCTGAGGTCAGAGGTATTTAAATATGTTTGCACATAAAATTGTCAAAACAACAGTAAATTCCCAGGCAGGGGAGGACAGCGGGACTGGAAATTACAGGCGTGCTCCAGGAGGGCAGGACCCACAGCTGCAGCTTCCTGACATCCAAGGCTTGGGAAAAATATGAGCTGCAAGGAGCTATTAGAGGATACAAGCAGGTAAAAACAAGCAAGTAAATAAACCCTGACTTTTAGTTTACCAGGGGCCAATTACTTGTAATTATTTGCCCAGCAAGTCTCCTTGTACGAGGCTAGGAAGGCAGCGATTCCTCAGCCTGTTTGCCACAGCAGAGGGAACAAACTGGGGGCAGATTCCTGCAGAATTCCAGTGGGGATGTGCAGCTCTGCAGCCTGGCTGTGCTCACACTGCTCCTCCCCAGAGCTCCTGAAACAAACCCCGGCTCCTGCGAGGAGGAAACTCGGGTAATTGGGGCAGGGATTACCGAGGGAGCAGAGCACTGTCCATGGCAAAGCCCAAATTTCATCCCCCAGAGAGCAGGGAGGGCTCAGCAAAGGGCACAGCAGTGATCTCAGCCTGTGCCACGAGAGGAGAGCCATGGCCCCAGAGACAGCCACGCCAGGAGCAGCTCCCAGCAGAGCCAGAGCAGCCTGGGCACTGCCCCGGGCATCACAGCTCTTTTCCTTTCCATCTCATGCCATTCCATTCCATCTCATCCCATTCCATTCCATCCCATTCCATTCCATCTCATCCCATTCCATTCCATTCCATTCCATTCCATTCCATTCCATTCCATTCCATTCCATCCCATTCCATCCCATCCCATTCCATTCCATCTCATCCCATTCCATTCCATCCCATCCCATTCCATCTCATCCCATTCCATTCCATCCCATCCCATTCCATTCCATCCCATTCCATCCCATTCCATTCCATCTCATCCCATTCCATTCCATCCCATTCCATTCCATCTCATCCCATTCCATTCCATTCCATTCCATTCCATTCCATTCCATCCCATCCCATTCCATTCCATCTCATCCCATTCCATTCCATCCCATTCCATTCCATTCCATTCCATTCCATTCCATTCCATCCCATC